GTCCCTCCAATCCATCCATGTGGCCACACCCACCAAAAGTTGTCCATGCCACCATAAGGGTGGCCAAGGGATAGAAGTACCTTGTTGACATTGTCATTGTTGACATCCAAAGACTTGAGTTGAGAGACCAACACAAGCACCCACACTGCACTGTGATGTGGCCCAGCCCCACCCCCAAAAGTTCTCACCATTGTTGTAATCATCAGCCAGATGGTCTCTGTGGTGGTGGTGGCAATAGTGGCCAACAAGACATTGGCAAGAGACAGACAGCCAGAAGGACATGTGGTCCAAAGTCCCAAGACCAACCATCCATCCATCTGCACTGTGGGGCTCATCAATCCAAGACCCATTGACCCATCCATACCATCCAGGCCACTAAATGCTGCTCCTGTTGTTGTTGTGGCTTTTGGAGACTTGGACAAATCTGGCACAGATGGAAGACTCCACTCCACAAACAGGAACATCTGAAGAGAACCCAGTCCTGACCTCCCAGCCCAATCCATCCATCCACATCACAATGCCATGTGAACAGCATGATGCTGATGCCAACATTGGTGGTGGTGATAGTGGCCAAAGGATGATGACACAAGCCCACACCATACTGTACCATGACATGGCCCAAAAACCCACCAAAAGTTAACATTGCTGACATTGTCAACTGGCCTTGATGATGATGGTGATGACAATGGCCCAACAAGACAACAATGGGTGGTGGAAGAGGGAGAGATAGACAGGATACTGGGTTTAGGGTTAGGGGGTCTAGTTCAGGTACTCTTTGACCTTTTCAATGGTGCTCATAACATCTTCTATATATCATCTTGATCGATAATTGCCCATCATTCTAGATATGCCTTTGTTTTTTGGCAAAAAAATCGTTCAAGCGAGTTTTCCGATTTTCTTTGATTTTCCGGAATTATTTTTTGTGTATTTATTTTTTAAATCAGGCCGACCTCATGCAGGCGACACGACATGGTTGTATTCGTGTAGAGCAAAAATCAGGCTACAAAACAAGTAGCTATACACTTGAAAACAGTATGCCATTATGATACAAGGTCGTGTGGCAGAAAGGGTTTTTTGTAATGTTTGGAAAATCACATGGAGGCCAAGAAAAATCATAAAATTCTGGAAAAAATGGCTAGCCCAGTTTTTGAAGGCCTTCTTTATGGCTATGAAGATTTGAGGTGGCTAGGCATTGATACAAGAAAGCTGTTTCTTTAGGGTATGGTGTGGGCAGATGGTTGCTTGGCCTTGGGACCTTGGACCACCCAGTGCCCTTCTGTATGTCTCTTGCTAATGCTTTGTTGGTCCACTGTCCCTGCCATGAGACTGTCTGGCTGACAATGACAACAACAATGACAAGTTGGCTGGGGCCATGCTGCAGTATGGGTGGACAGATGGAGAGGTTGTTGGCCATTGCCAGTAATGATGATGATGATGACAAAGAGAATGGTTCCTGCTAAAGTTGTCCATCCATCAGTCTGTGCTGTCTGCTCATTCCATTCTGAGATCCAAGGTTCGTCCATCAGTCCGTCCGTCCCATGTCTGCAACATTTGGTGGCGGCTGAAGCACGGACGGACCAATGGATGGATCTGGAACGGGTTTGGGTTTGGGGCCAACTTCTTGGAAGCCACGGCAGGGATGGACGGATGGGTCTTGAGACCTTAGTTGCCGAAAACAAAACACAAAACACCCCCCCTTCACCACCCCCGACCAGCACTCATAGTGCCCACACGTCAATGACACCCCCCCACCCCAACACTACGAACCACGTGAGAATGGAACGCAGCCCACCACACACACACATGGCCGTCAGTCATCTCGCCCCTTGTTGTCATTGGGGGCCGTGATCATCGGACCACCCAGATTGGACCATCACCGTCACTCCCACCGGACCTCTCTGCTGTTTCCTTTGATCATGCTGGTCGGCCCCATCGCTGAGATTGTGTGGTCCGCACCACGAGAACCCTCCCCCCCATCGGGGTCCTTTTTGGTTGTTTGAAGAATTTGGCGTGAAAGAGAGAGCAAACTCCGCGAAATGGAGCTCTAGAGAGGGGGGAAGTAACTGGAGGATCAAGAAGCCATCCAGGTTCGGTTCATACTTGGCTGGTTACTGGGATTGCACCGCGTTAGCCTTGAGCCATGCGAGCACATCACCTGCGTTACGATCTGGTGGGAAGACGGGGTAGAACACCTGCTCCACCTTGCCCTCTTTCAGCACGAGCGCCATGCGTTTGTAGAGACACTTCCCTCCGTACTCGAACCACGGTAGATTCATCGCCTGCCCAAACTTTCCCAGCCTCTCGGCACCCTCTTCCTCTTCACGATCGGAGAGGATGGCGAAGGGCAGATGAAGCCGATCGGCGACCTCGCGTTGGTACTCAGCGGTCTGCGTGGAAAGGCCAAACACGTGAGCGGCGCCCGCCTTGCGTAGGTCGGCATGCAGATCACGGAAGGAGCAGGTCTGCGGGGTACACCCATGAGCTCCCGGGATCAGGTCCCAGTTAGCTGGCACTGGTTTGCCCGGCTCTCCAGTTCTGGGATAGATGAAGAGCACTGTTCGACCGTCCAGCCTTGCCAGATTCACCTGCCCATATCAAACCATCAATAAATTGTTGGATTTTTGGTATTTTCCTTTAAATTCATTATATTTTACATTTTAATGACACATTTTAGTATATGGTAAATATACATATAAATATTTATTTTTCACTTAAGTGATTTATAAAACCTACGAGCATTATCGGATAATTTATAAATACCATTATCAATTTTTTATAAAAAAGCAAAATGATAAAAGTTGTACGTGGTAGCCAGAGGTGGAAGGAAGCTCGAGGTCGGCCACGGGAGGTCCCACCCTCAGATGGTCCGCAGCGCCGTCGTCATGCGGCACCGGAAGTGCTTCGGGCAGCGCAAACCGAGCGTCCATTTCTGTGTCTCCTCCTTCTCAAGTGCGGAAATGTTAATTCTTGACACCTTGCGTTGAATTCTGCACTGAAATATCCACCGCAGGTGGTATTTGCGGCTCCTCCGCCAAATTGGGTTTCCTTGCGCGCGAAGCCATGGGCAGTTTGGTGGGTGTCTCTAGGTCTTGGTGGTGGGGGAACATCATCTCCATTGCTGCCACCACCAACGATGACGACAACTCCGCCACGTTATGGCATGGCCACGGTGCGGTATGGATGAAGGCGCCGAGGACTTGGTCTTGAAGTCTTCTTCTGATGTCAACATCATCCCTTGGTGGCCACCACCACCACCACCATGTTGACATCTATGATGACATCGTCTTGGTCACGACGACGTGGATGGGATGGGTCACCACCAGGTTGCCCGTCTTGATGTCGCGGTGGGCTACGCCCAGCACGTCGTGCACGTAGGCCACGCCCTTGAGGATTTGGAGACACAGACGCCTGCTCACGCGGTCGGCGCTCGGGCTTCCAGAGAGCCAGCCGCCGCGTGCAGCAGGCTCGTCCGGATAGACATACCAGAACAATCTGCCCTGTACTGCTCCTCGTTGTCCATGACCGTGGCGCACACCTGCTCCTCGCCCAAGTCCAGCCAATGCCACGCCGTCGTCGGTGCGATGTTACTGGCCAGACCGACGGTGAGTTAGGTGGGCAGGGAATAGGTGCGCCTCAGTATCTTTATGACCACGTTGGCGCGCCGCGCCGCGATGGCGCTCCAGACCACCGAGTCGACGGCCCTGTGGATGTACTCGATCATCTTGTAGCCAAGGGCGGCGGTGCTGCGCACAGCCTCGTCCTCCCACTCGTTTGGCCGGGACATAGCCGCTGCTGTGTTTTTCACAAACAGACTCCTACGTTTTTTATGAAGGGGCGAGAGACCTCAGCAGACCGTTTTTCGTCCTCTCTTGCACGATGACGAGGTCATAGAGGCTGCACACCGATTTGATACAACTCACAGCCGTCGTGCGCCCCCGACGACATCACCTCCATCCCGATACCAAGGGCAAAAGAGAACCCGCTTACACGAACTAACTCGGTGCGGCCACGTTGTATGCAAATGTGTTTCTTGTTAATGGCCACAACCCGCAAAAGTCCTTGCACCTCTTGAAGAGGGCAAGCGAGTCTCGGATGACCAGCCAGAGGCCTCGGTAGGGAGGACGGCAGTCGTAACTCCTCAGGAAGTAGCATCTCCCGTAGGTGGACGTCATACAACATTGCCCTTGTTCCAAAAGGCTGCTTGCGTTTGTGCCCGCGGTGACCACGCCAGAGAGACTGGCGGTCATGTAGGTGCCATGGGCTGTCTTGATGGTCCACTTGTTGGTGGCGGCAATGGTGACGTTGAATTGCTCCCAGCCTGCGGCGACAGTCCTGTCGGCCACGATCGATCCGTCGGGTTGGGCCGAGAGGTACTT